GACCTTCAGAAGTACTGTTTAGTGTATGTGGTGATGCACGCTTGCTCCCACTACCTAGCACATAGTTTCTACCTCACCATTGTCAATGAACAGTATCATCATTCCATAATTCCATATGGAGAACAACTCCGTTCTTGATATCCACCTAGTGTTCCATTAGATGGATGTACTGCATGGCTTAAGGAAGATTGTTTTTGCCTTTTTTTCTTTTTAAAAGACATTTAATAGTGTGTTTGTGTGTGTGTGCTTCAACAGCACCCTGTCCTTAAGCTTGTTAAACCTGTGTTAGACCCTGATATCCCACCCAGGGTAGGTAAACACACAGGGTCCGCAAACAGGTACCTTGTGAAAAGTATGCGTGGCCTTTGAAATTTGGTGTACCAAAATCAACTTGTCTCCTCATTCTGTTTTTCCATGGATTTTTGAAGTGTCCTCGTGCACAGCTGTATATCCATGTGGTCACTTGCGCGACAATTCTGCCCCTCAGTAGCCTGAAGATCAGGCATCTTGTCAAGTTCACCGCCACTGTCTTGGTGCCAGACCCATATCAGTACAGTGACCTCCAAGTCTTGTTTCTCTCCAACGTATTCTCTGTGTTACTGGCAATGTCTTCCCACTCCTCCCACTGGAGCAGGCTTCTCCCTGGCTAAAGTTCTGGGGTTTCGGGGCCACTGGCCCCTGTCTAGACCCCTCGTGTGGCACCGAGCGAGGCATTTTACCACCTGGCCCCTCTTGTCCTGCCTGCACATCTGCCACTCTTGCTGTGGTCACATTCTCCTTTCTGGAGGTCTACAAGACTTCTTCTGTCCTCTTCACCCTAAGTCCCCTGGCTTTCCCACAGTTTCTCTTCCGCCATGCCATCCTTTTCCCATCTGGGGAGATCTTTCCTGGTTCAGTAAACCCTGAAGCCACCTCGACTCACTCCTGCCCTGTTGTGAGGTGCCCCTCCTCCGTGTGCACCGAGCACCTGTGCCAGGGCTCTGGTAGGGGACTGACAGTCTAGTAGAGTGTTTTGCCCAGCTGGCAGCACTGTGAATTATTCAGGTCTTGTGATACTTTATTCTTGTTGGATTCCTGATGCTAGCACAGCAGCTGGCATATAGCAAGTCTATAAATGACTGAAGGGGAAGGAAGACTGAGGAAAGTTCTAGAAAGCTTACACTTAAATGGAAGTCTTACTGTCATGTTTAAAGCACAGAGACATTTTTTTTTTGTGATTGACCTGGGTGAAGCAGCTCCATTTGTCTTCTCTCCCTTCAAAAGGGCATTGTGCCAGCAGCGGGCTGTATTGCCCTTCAGGATACCTCTGAAGTTACCAGAAGGTCATCTCCCGCCTCAACAACCCATGTCATGGGGGAGGTGGAACGCTGGACAGCTACCCTGATGCCACCACAGCGCTGCCCCGATGCCACTCTTCAGTGGTATCCACGGCTCCTCGGGGAGTTCCAGAGCTAACATCTGACTACCAAGAGGAGACCTTGCTCCCTAATAGAGGGTCGAACCATCACGGTCTGTTCTTTGTCCTTATGTATCTTGAGCCATTGGAGGCCCAAGTGGTGAGTGCGTGAAATGCTTCCAGGTACCTCATGCAGGAGAGACCTTATTTCTTCATGTCCCATGTGACTGGGCTCCCAGCCTGACTCCCAGGCTGTGTGACTGCCGTCAGCCCCGAGGGGCAAAGGCGAGGGTGGAGGAACAGCAGGAAGGATTTCCAGCCTCTGCACGGAACTGGGGAGTGGGCCAGGCATCTGAGTCAGCGAGGAAGCCGTGTTAGGTGGAGGCAGCTGGGCTTCGGGGACACGGTCGAGAGGCACAGCCTAGTGCCTGGAGCTGGAATTCCGCAGTCACAGAGGGAGCAGCAGCAGGAAGGAGGCTGAATGGCTGAGATGCCGAGGCCTTGGGCTCTGTCCTGCCTGCTCTGAGAGAAGGGTTGACTCAGCTTTGGGGCAGTGCGCAGTCTAATGGGGTTTGTCTGGAACCCAAAACTCCTGGGACAAATAAGCAGCTAAATAGTGCCACAGCCTGGCCCCTGTTGTTTATCTCCAGACACCATGCTCTTCCTTCCTATAGGGTTTGTTTTTGTTGTTGTTTTGTTTGTTTTTGTTTGTTTTGTTGTTGTTCTTTAGATTTATTTTTATTTGAAAGGCAGAATTACAGAGAGGCGCAACAAAGAGCTTCCACCTGCTGGCTCTCTCCCCAGATGGACACAATGGCAACTCTCTGCCATGGACACACCAGGCTCTTAGAGGCTGTGACCATGGTGGCTTCTCTGTTCTCATTACTCATGCTTTCCCAAGATCTCAGAGTTGGGTGCAAAGTTCCTGGCCCCTCCTCCTCCTCCAGCTGCTTTCCTCCTGACCTTCCCTTTGTCCTACATACAGTGGATGGGCTGGTCTTTAGCTCTCTATCAACTCATTAATGAGGAATGATGATAATGATGCTTAACATTTCCTGCTCTTGTTTTTGGTGCCAGGTACATGATCCAGCTTTTTAATCCTACGGAAGCCCTGTGAATAGGTTCTATTATAATCTGCCTTTCATACAGGGGGAAGTTCACGTGGTTAAGAAACTTAACTAAAGGGCCTGGCATTGTAGCCTAGTGGATAAAGTCCTTGCCTTGCATGCACTGGAATCCCATATGAGTGCCAGTTCATGTCCTGGCTGCTCCACTTCTTTCCAGCTCCCTGCTTGTGGCCTGGGAAAACAGTAGAGGATGGCCCAAGGCCTTGGGACCCTTGTGTGGGAAACCCAGAAGAAGCTCCTGGCTCCTGACTTCACATTGGCTTAGCTCTGACCATTATGGCCGCTTAGGGAGTGAAACAGCAGATGAAGATCTTTCTCTCTGTCTCTCCTTCTCTCTGTAAATATTTCATTAACAATAAAATGAGTATTTAAAAGAAAAAAAAAGAAAATTAACTAAAATCCAATGGGGGGGGAAAAACCTCTGTGACATCAATGTACAGAATGCCTCTAGGCCCAAATTTGCCTGATCTCAGAGCTGAGCACCTTAATCCACACCCCAGTCTCCCCATCTCAGGGAACATCTGAATTTTTCTCACTTTTCCAAACAGTTGGTTCACCTGACTCCTGGCTCCTCTGCCTCAGTATTTATTGACTGCATAAAAACCTCCTGCAGCTTTTTCTCTTGCCAAACATGAGACCATTTTCCTTTTACCATAATCACTTTGCTGACAGTTGAAAAATATAGAATCTTCAAAGAGTTCGTGGAAAGTGCAACAGATGTTTAAGATTCTGCATAAGAACAGGTTTCGAAATTTTCTGCACACACACACACACACCCCTCTTAATCTTTTTCTAGGAACTATTTGTAATTAGGCATTTTTTTTTTTTTTTTGGAAATTGTCCTCTATTGGGAAGCCTTAGTGTCTCTCCTATTTATTTAAAGTCATTCCTGATTAAAATGAAGCCAGCCTGTTTGATTAATCTCATCACTGTTTAGATTTGAATTTATTAATTTATTTGAAACAGACAAGGATTGACAGGGATTTATCTGCTGGGTCACTCCCCAGGTGCCTGTAAGGTTGGGCCAGCCCACAGCTGGCAGCTGGGGCTTCAGCTGAGCTCCCCCATGTGGGTGGCTTGGCTCCCACCGGAGCCATCTGCGGCTGCCTCCCAGGGTGCATTGTAGCAGCAGATTGGAATCGGGAGCAGAGCCAGCTCAGACACCGATACGGGATACAGCTGTCCCCAGTGGCGCCTTGGCCACCGCACCAATCACCCACCCCCTCCACTTTCTCAGATGAGCCAACACAGGGAGGGAAAGTGACTCATACTCACAGTCACATACAGCAATAAAAAGATGAGGGCAAGAACTCCAGGCTCCTGGCCCCTTGCCTTGTATTGTTCCAATATGTTTAACAAATAAAATTTGATTGGCCAATTTTTCATTTATATGATGAAAGGTTTTTTTTTTTTCCTCCTCAACAGAAAAGGGATGTGTGGGTTTTTAGCCCCAATGCCAAGTACAATGAGTTAGGTAACTTACTGCTACTGCCTTCATCATTTCAGAGTGGCTTCCTGGATCCCATAAAAGTATTTCTAAACTATCCCCTCTGGTCTCCCATTCATGGCTCTGTATCATGAGAGGCCCAATAGCTCATCTCCCTCTTTGGCCAAAAATGAATCTGCCTTGCCGTCTGAAGGACACCCACGTTTTCTCTTTGGCTTCATCAGTTCTTTGTATTTTGAGGGCCGGATGCTAAAAGTTGAAGTCAGCGTCTTGCAAAATAAGAAACTCTTTTAGGGAGCATCTTGTTCTTTAGATGGTGTGGGCCCAAGGGCTGTTAGCACCAAGGTGCCTGCTCACTCGGACGTGGTTTCTTAAGATCTCTTTTATTTATTTGAAAAGTGGAGCTGCATGGAGAGACAGGGAGAGGTACATATATAAAGATCTTCCATCCACTGATTCACTCCCCAAGCGGGGCCCAAGCCAAAGTCAGGGATCAGGAGCTTCATCTGGGTCTCCATTATGGGTGTAGGGTCCATCTACCTCATTTTCCAAGGCACACCAGCAGGGAGCTGGATCGGAAGTGGAATAGTCAGGACATGAACTGGCACCCATACAAGATGCCTGCATAGCTTAACATGCTATGCCACAATGCTGGCCCCTTGCTGTGCGCTTTATGAAGAATGTCCAGAAACCAAGAACACTCCACGCATTTTAAGTATGAGAAAACATAAAATGTTGATGTGTCAGAAGTCTAGGCGAGGGTTACGCAGGAGTCTTTATATGACTGCACATTTCTATGAAAGTGTGGGATTATGTTAGCCTAAGAAGTGAAATACTAATAGGGCAGAGAATAGTCGTGATGAGTGAGAGAACGAGGCAGCAGAATCTTCTGTCTTGTGTTTATGTAACTGCTTTTTGGTCTCAGGGCATGTGGCAGTCTGGACTCCCAAGTCCACCAGCACCGTCAGAGGAGAGACTGAGCTGTGGGTCATGCTAATGCCAGGGACCTCCCTTTCCTGTGTTTCTGCAGGCGCAGCGAACCTGCAGGCCGACCCCACTCGTGGCACATGACCAAATCTGGGGAGACCCTCGCCGATGCCAGCATGATGCAGGTATCTCAGGGCACGATCGGCACTCCTTGGCATCAAAGCTACCATTCCAGGTGAGTTGCTGGAGTAGTCTTTGTTTCGGGAACACTGGCTTACATTTATCCCAAGTCTCAGAGTGCTCCATGCTGCTTTGGTCATCCTCTGAAAAGGCATCCTGTTGCAGGCTGGTCGACGTGAAGGGGCACCGGGGTGATTCTGAATGCTGTGGTCGTTATGGGTATCTGTGGGCTCTGCCAGTTCTCCAGCATCTCCTGGTTACACATGATGCCACTGCGTTAGGAAGGCAAACAGGCTTCTTCCCTGGGTGCTTAAACGTGCCTTCTCTTTAGTCAGAATAGCATCTGGTTTTTATCAGAATAGTCTAATTTAAGCATCTGAACTCTCCACTTGATTTTCCAGCTTAGTTCCAGCCCCAAACAGCAGAGACTTCTCAGCATGTACACTATGTTCTGTCATCTTTCACACATGCATCTCTAAGACCCCACTTTATAGAACAGGAAATTCGAGACAAGGATGAGTTTGCTTAAAGTCAGATGACTGACTGGGGCCCGAGTGGAGACAAAGTCAGGCTGGGTTTCAAAAACTGTTGCATGGAACCACTAGGCTGTTCTTCCTCTGCTTTTTTTTTTTTTAAGATTTATTTTATTTTTATTGGAAAGTCATATATACACAGAGAGGAAGAGCTTCCATCTGTTGATTCACTCCCCAGGCGGCCACAATGGCTGAAGCTGAGCTGATCTGGAGCCAGGAGCCAGGAGCCTCTTTGGGGTCTCCCACACGGATGCAGGGTCCCAAGGCTTTGGGCTGTCCTCCACTGCTTTCCCAGGCTACATGCAGGGAGCTGGATGGGAAGCGGGACTGCTGGGATACAAACCGGCACCAATATGGGATCCTGGAGCATGCAAGGCAAGGACTTTAGCCACTAGACTACCACGCGGGACCCCTTCCTCTGCTTTTGCAGTCGCTGTTACGGGAGCCAAAGTTTGGTTAGGAAGAAAGCTGTGGTGGGTGTGATGGAACAAGGGATTGATCACAGGTTGAGGCCTGAGACAATGAAGCTAGAAAAAAGAAGTGTTTCGGTGCAGTGGCTCCCCCTCACTGTAGCCCGAGGGAACCAGACGCTGTGGCTTTTCAGCTGGGGGGGGGGGGGAATGCTTGTTTAAATGCTTGTGTAACGGTATCCGAACGGACTTGAGAAGGCAAGAGGGCATCATCTCAAACTCCCGCAGACGGCTGAGATGCAAGTGCAAGTGTGTGCATGTGCACCAGGGTGCGGGTGGGGGTGGCTTCTAGAAAGATTACAGATGATGTCTGTGTACTGGCAAAGCCAAAACTCAGCTCTGAGTACTCCTGTCTGGTCAAGTCACAGACCAAATTCCAGGCCTCTCACAGGGGAGGTCTTAGGGAATTGAGCAGATAAAACTCCCAACACATCAAGGTTGGCCTGGGGCCACAGGAAGAGAACATTTCCTGCTTGTCCTCCAGGTTGTAGTTGATCTTCCTCTTTACCCGCAACCTCCCTGGAAGGGTTAGTTCTCACCCTCTGCAGAAAGCGGGTCTGAAGGCACTGTACTGTTGCTTCCTGGGATGGAGGTGTTAGGGTCTTAGAAGGCCAGATGTGGGGAACCTAAGGGTTTGGCAAAAGGCTGGCCCAGTGGAAGGTCTCTTGCTTCAGGGTTTTTGGCTGAACCGGCACACTTTGTGAACTTGAGCAAATCATTGAGCCTCTTTGGTCTTGGCCTCTTTTTCTATAAAATGAAGTTAGTAGCTCCTATGCTGTTGGATCATTTAAGGAATTAAAATATGTGATTCCTGGTATATAAGAAGCACTCAGTTGATGGTTGCCACAGTAACTGTGGAGGAGGGCAGAGCCTGCTTCCAGCCTGGTCTCAGGCTACAACCAGGAAGGACGGAATTCTGGCACACCCCTCCAGCAATGGGGTTACTTGGATACAAACCAATAGTCCTCACTAAGTAACAGCTGGAGCAGCCCTGTTTCAGCTTCCATGTTGGGGAGGTGGAGCTTAAAACCCCCTCTTACCCCTCTTCCTGGCTCTTCTTCCTCTGTAGCTCTCTCCTCACATCTTTCTGCTATATGGGGAAGGGAAGCCCGTGACCCACAGTTCCCTGGAATAAAGGCCATCTAAGGTCTTTTCTATGTACGGCTGATGTGTTCCTTCCTGGTGATTGGTGAATCTAACCTCGGTAAATCACAACTAATTATGGTAATCAGCCTAAAGACAAAGAGGCATGATGAAACTCTGTAAGGAACTTGAAGGTTTACGGCATGGATGAGCACATACTTAGAACATACATAGCACATACTTAGAAATACAAGTGTGTTAACAGTTCACCCTGAGCAATACTGTCCATTGGAGCCTCCTACCCTCTAACCTTCTTACAGAACCCTCCATCTGAAGTCATACTGGGTCTTTAAAAAATGCACTGCCCTACGGAGGAAGACTAGTTTGACCCTGCCACCCCCGTCAGGGCTTAGAATGTTTACTTCCAGGGCAGCAGTGGAATTGGAACCCAAATAAAATATCTCAAGACTCCATTTCCCCCACCTCTTCTTCCTCCCCCTGGCAGCTTCCAGGGAGGCTGAGGCTGGTGATGTGGCCCTGGCTGTTTCTGTGTTCTGCCAGTCTCCTCCCGTCGGTGCAAGGGCAGTGCATGGGAAGAAAGGAGGAGGAGAAAGCTCAGCTTACCTGCGGCGGCCCTCCCCGCAGCTCATGTGTGTTCACTCCTGCCCAGCACGCAGCGCCTAAGCTGTGGAGCTTGCAGCTCTGGCAGGGGCTTCGCCTCAACTTGAAAGTCCTCCCCCTGGGTTTGCTCTGTTGGCCTCTGCCCCTGGAGAGGCAGCCCCGGGGTATTCTCAGGAGCACAGTGGCATATGTGCCCGACTCATCAGCTGGTACCTCTCGGACAGCCTTAGTTTAGCTCAGGAGATCCAGTCTTTGTCTTGAATCTTGAGGAACTGTCAGGAAGAAGCAGGGGCATGAGGGAACAGGAGCAGTGGAGAGGGATGGAATGACGTGAGGAGGACAGACAAGGAGAGAGAGGCGAGGATGTGAATTTCAAGTGTCTGCAAGCGGGGCTGCAATTGGGAGTTCCATAGAAACCTCATTTCAGCTGCTTCCTCTCAGACCCTGTCCGTCTTTCCCTGGCCTACAGAAATCTTACAGAATGGTACTAAGCTATCTTTTACCTTCAAATTTTAAGAACATTTGAAAGGGAGAGAGAGAATCACTCATTTGCTGGTTAACTCCCCAGATGCCTCCCAACAGTCCAGGCTGATCCATGAAGCCAGGCATCCACAACTCCAGGAGTCTTTCCCATGGATGGCGAGAGGCCAGGTGCCTGAGCCAGGGTACGCACCAGCTGGATGCTGGAATCTGGAGCTCATCCATGGTTCTGGCACAAGCACTGTGATCCTGGATGTTGGCATCCCAAGAGGTGTCTTACCTGCTGTGCCAAACATCTACCTCTCCAGTACTTTAGTAGAGACCTTGAAAAATCATGTAGCCCAGTCCCATCAGGAGGCTGAAATAAAGTATAACATCCCAAAGGGCTCACTCTTTTAGTGTCTGCCTCTCTCTCTGGCTCTCCAATAAATACATTAAAAAAAAAAAAAAGGAAAAGAAATTGGGGGAGTTGGCATCATGTTGTTGCATGTTGAGCCACTACATGCAACGTGCTGGCATCCATATGGTCACCAGTTTGACTCCCAGCTGCTTCATTTCCAGTCCAGCTCTCTGCTAAAGCACCTGAGAGAGTTTAGCAGAAGATAGCCCCCGTACATGGATCCCCACTACCAGTGTGGGAAACCAGGAAGCAGCTCCTCGCTCTGGCCTGGCTAGCCTTGTCCATTGAAGACACGTGAGTAACTGGCAGATGTAGGATCTCTTTCCGTGTACCTCCCTCTTTCAAAGAAGTAAAGAGAGCTTTTTTAAAAAATTACAGCAAAGTACTTTATTGAAAATAAAAAATTTAAAATGGGCTTTTACCCTGGAAGTTAAACGCTTGCATCCCAATTAGAATCACTGGGTCAGCTACCCAGCTGTGGCTCCAGCTTGCTGCTAATGCTGATGCAGACCCTGAGGGCCAACACGTGATGGCTCAAGCCACTGGATTCCTACCACCCCTGAGGAAGGCAGAAATTAGTTCCCTGGCCTCTGGCCTAGGCCACCCGTGGTCGCTGAGGTCATTAGGGAAGTGAACCAGCAGATGAGAGCGGTCTCTGAAATAGATTTTTTTTTAAGAGAAAATATTTAAATGCTAGCTCTTACTCATCTTCAATTATTCATTCACTTAATAAACATGTATGAGTATCCACTGTGTCTCATGATTTCTGATTATGGGGAATACAGTGGTGAACCAGATATTAAAAAAACCTTAGCCTAATGAGAAACAAGTATATATTTGACACTCCTTGGAAGAAGTTTCTAGTTTTTTTTTTTGAATTAGAAAGGCAGATACACAGAAGGAGAGACAGAGAGGAAGAGCTTCCATCGGACGGTTCACTCCCCAAGCGGCTGCAACGGCTGGAGCTGAGCCGATCCGAAGCCAGGAGCCAGGAGCTCTTCTGGGTCTCCCATACGGTGTAGGGTCCCAAGGCTTTGGGCTGTCATCGACTGCTTTCCCAGGCCACAAGCAGGAGCTGGATGGGAAGCAGGGCCCGTATGAGATCCGGGGGCATGCAAGGCGAGGACCTTAACCACTACGTTATCGTGCCGGGCCTGAAGTTTCTACGTTTAAAAAAGTTTAGAAAGCATGCTTAGTATAGTTCTCATTTAGAACAGCACATGAACAAGTTTATTTTCATAGTCTTGTAGTTAAGTAAAATTGTTTGACTTTTGACTTATTTTAGCGCAGCATTTTCCAAATGTATTTGACTATCCGAGGAATTACCATTTTGTGACTATAAGAAATATATTGAATATTTATTATACTCTATGGTATGTTATAGGTATTTAAATCTACTTTGTACATACAACTAATGATAAGAGTAGATTGTGTCTACCACTGGATGAACATTTTGTAATGGGCACATCCGTCCTTCATAGGAAGCCTCCTTCCTGAGACCAAAGGGAGATAATACAGCATCACGTGGTGCTAAGAGCTGTGAGAAAAGTAGATGAGGAAGTAAGGAAAGCCGAGATGCTATTTAGTTCATCCCAGAAGAGCTCTTAGACACAGAGATTGGAATAAAGGAAAGGAGTGAGTCGGGGAACCGCATTCCAGTAGCAGGAACTGCAGGTAAGAGGCCATCAGGCCCTGAGGTGGGCAGTTTGAGTGCCAGTGAGTAAGCCATCCTGCCGGAGTGCAGAGAGCCAGCAGGATGAGAGAAGAGGCAGACAGGAACGTAGCAAGGCCAAGGTAAGAGCACTGCCCGCAGGCATGGTAAGGCTGTTCTTTTGGGGTTTGGACCCTTCACAGGATTGCAAACCCTCGTCCCAGGCTGCTCCTGTTCATCTTTGCAGGAGCCATCCTGGAAGCAGGAATGGTGGAGGCCATTCAAATGAGTGTGTCCAGATAGAGATGTCAAGGGTGACTGCAGGGCCCATGTTCCCCTGGCAGCTTGGGAATGGGTGCTGCAAGGGGCACAGCCTCTGCCTGACCAGGAAGGTGGGCACCACACATAGGCCTCACATATTTTCTAGCTGAAGTTTGCTACAGGAAGGAACTTGCTAGAACCCTGCTGGCTGGACATACGTGATAATTGTATCTACTTCTAGGTTCATCTATATTTTGAGATATGTTTGTGATAGCATTTTGCCACTCCATAGAGAGGCTATAGGTTACTCATCAGCTTTTACTCACTTTGCTGGTTCTCTGTGTGTTCCTCAGTTAGGCTTTAATTACCTTTTCAAAAAGAGACTGTTGAAATTCTCAACATTTGGGAGGATTAAACAGTGTCTGTTACCAACACTGCCCTTACAGGATCAACGGCATTCATTGCCTTTGGAAGTCCTGGCTCTGACTCTCCTGTTAAAGGGGACCAAAGGAAGCAATGGGGTAATCCGTAATTATCCTCAACCAGGCTACTCCATGCTTTCCTAACACAGGCTTCTCCAGTTAGAGGGGATCTGGGTATTGGGGTTTGTGGCAAGGATGGGAAAGTCTAGCCATTATATATGCATCGGTATTGAGTCTCCATCCACTTTCCTTTTAGTTATGCCTTTCCCTCCCAAAGCATGATGGCTCCTGCTGGTAAGCTAACTTCTTCTGCTTGAGGACATTTATATTGTGGAGGTGAGCTGCTACAGATGTGGCCCTTTCCCTAAATTCCAGGACTAGTTTTGACTTGGGAATCTGGCCCTTCTAGTCTCTTGACAGGAGACAGTTCATCCATATGTATCCAACAGGGTATCACATTTACTTACATGAGACCTAGAAACATCCTAACTGCATCAAGTGAGTACTGCTTAAATGCCTATCCAGTTAAAAATGGAAAATCTTAGGTAAGAACTCTTAGTAATCTACCCTCTTTAGAGAAAAGTGAGTCATAAACATTTGATATATGTAGTTTCCTGTTTAATTTTTGAACCACTTATTCCTCCCAATATAGCTTCCCCATAACAAAGTGCTTCATTGATGGAATTAAAATATAAGTTTATTTTGGGGCAAAAATTATGTGGAGATCCATAAATGGTTTGTTCTCTAATATACACTTTCCATGAACTTTCTGAAGTATCTTAATATGCCCATACACATACACACATTTTTTTTCCCCTAAGGCCTTATGTTTTACAGCAGTTTTAAGTTCTCAATAAAACTGAAAGGAAGGTCGACTTCCCACAAACGTCCTGTGCCCCACACACTTGTATTCCGCCATCACCCTAAAAGCAGGTCATGACTGATGAACGGTGTTGACACAGCATTTGCACAGGGTTCACTGTTGGGGTTGTAGGCTGTGGGATTGGGAAATTTTATAATGACTTATCCACCATTGTCATCTTCATAATAACAGTTTCCCTGTGTCTTCCCACCCCTCAAATCTCTACCACCATGTCATCTCTCCCTGATCTTCTGTCTCCATTGTTTGGCCTTTTCTATTATATCATACGGCTTTATTCAAGTAAGCTCCTTCCACTTAGTAACATGCATTTCTGAGTTTGCTCCATGACTTCTCACGGCCTCATAGCATTCTTTAATGTGATGACTATTTCATTGTTTGGATATACTGTAGTTTACCCATTCGGCTCCGGAAGAACATCCCGAGTGCTTCCAAGTTCTGGCAGTTATGAATAAAACTGCTGTAAACATCCATGTATGTGTGGGCCTAAGTTTTCAGTTCCTTTGGCCAGTGATCACTGGATTGTATGGTAAGAGTTTGGATGTTCCACAGTGGCTGTGCTACTTTGCCTGTCCACCAACAAGGAACGAGAGTTCCCACGACTCCACATGCTCACCATCCTTCAGTATCGTCAATGCTGTGAGTTGTGGCCATTCTAATAGGGTGTATGGTGGCATATTTTTATTGGAAAGGCAGATTTACAGAGAGAAGGAGAGACAGAAAGATATTCCACCCACTGGTTCACTCTCCTAATGGCTGCAATGGCCGGAGCTGAGTCCATCCAGAGCCAGGAGCCAGAAGCTTCTTGTAGGTTTTCCCATGTGGATGAAGGATCCTAAGGACTTGGGCTAGCTTCCACTGCTTCCCCGTGCCTTAAGCAGGGAGCTGGATTGGAAGTGGAGCAGCTGAACACAAACCAGTGCCTATATGGATGCTGGTACCAGAGGCAGAGAATTAGCCTGTTATACCACTGTGCCAGCTCCATATCATTATTATTGCAAATGATGCCGAGTATGTTTTGTTGTCCTCATTTTATATCTGTGTATCTTTGGTAATGAAGTGTCTGTTGAGGTCTTTGACTTTTTTTTTAAAACCAGGCTGATTGCTTAATTGTTGAGTTTTTAAATGATAATTTGTTTGAAAGGCAGTAAGTTAGAGAGAGAAAGAAGACAGACAAAGATTATCTTTCATCCGTTAGTATACTTCCCCAATGGAAGGGGGTGGACCAGGCGGAAGCCAGGAGCTTCATCCTGGTCTCCTCCATGAGTAGCAGGGGCCCAAGCACTTAAGCCATTTTCTTCTTCTTTCCCAGGTACATTAGCAGGGAAGTGGGTTGGAAGTGGAACAACTGAAACTTGAACTGTTGCCCACATGGGCAGCAGTTTAAATGTGCTGTGATATAATGCCGGCCCCCAATGTTGAGATTTTAAGAGTTCTTTGCTGAAGTATATTTTGGATTAATGGTTAAAACTAACAGTAAATCATTTTGTTTTGAGGCACCTTTCTGGAGTATGCCACACCAGGATCGAGAATATTCTTTATCCCACCTGCTGCACCACCTGCCCCTGCAGGCTCTGGAATCTGCTCAGAGGAGCTCGTTACTGAGGTCCCACCCTTCTCCATGTACAAAGAGGCTTGAGACTTTGGGAAGTTGTCCAGGGGTGATGAACTCCCAGGCCCCTACGAGCCGCCTCTAATTAAGACTGCTTCCAAGGCTGCCCCCATCCCTGCCTCTCACTTGTCCTAAATCTCATTTCTCTTATCATTCAGCTTTGTGTTTAGCTTCCTCGCCACAAACAAATTGTCTCCAGTACAGTGGAGATTCCAGGAGGCCTGCCAGAGGGTAGCCTTCTATTCCATAAAAAGGAAAGATATTAACTAAAAACGTATCCATGCGCACAGTCTCCCTCATCCATCGCGTGCCTCTTCTCTTACTAAGCCCTTCTCCTCCTCTGCATAGATAGCCCAGTTGACACAAACATCACTCTTTCCCCTTGTCCCCTCTTTCTTCCCTCTCCCACCACTCTCATTCCTGCAGAATGTCAGGCCCAGCGCATAGCACGTCACACTGCTATGCCTGTTGCCAGTGGTCACATGGCCTCCTCCATGCTCCTGGTCCCTTGCTTGGCAGGCCTGGGTGATTAATTAGAGGCACGCTTCGGCTGTAGTGTCAGGAAGTTACTCCTAGCAATGACACACTGGGAAGCTGAGCAAGGCCCAAATATGGCCCTTTTTACCCACCCTTCCCAAACCCAAACATCATTCTGAGAGTGCATTTATAAGCTGGTCCTGTGCCTGGAAGCCTGCTCACACGATCCACTCCAGCGGTGCTGACTGCCTTGTCTTGCTTTCTTCCAGCTCCTCGACAAGCGACCTCTCCACCTACGAGCATGCATATCTGAGGCGGAGCCCTGACCAGTGCAGCTCCCAGGGCAGCATGGAGAGCCTGGAGCCTAGTGCCAGCTACCCAGCCTGCCATCTCCTCTCCCCGGCCAAGTCCACCAGCAGCATTGATCAGCTTGGCCACCTGCACAGCAAGAGAGACTCTGCTTACAGCTCCTTCTCCACCAGCTCCAGCATCCTGGAGTACCCGCCCCCTGGCATCTCTGGCCGGGAGCGTTCCAGCTCCATGGACATGACCTCTGCACGAGCCGGCCTGCTGGAAGGGATGAAGCAGGCAGACATTCGCTACGTCAAGACCGTCTATGACACCCGGCGGGGAGTCTCCGCCGAGTACGAGGTGAACTCTTCGGCCCTGCTGCACCCGGGTCGGCAGACCGTGGATAGCCAGGGCTATGAGAAATGGCACAGTGCTCCTCGGGGCAAGGGAGCGCCTCTTCCATCCTGGAGCCAGCAGTGTCCCAGCTCCCTGGAGACTGCTGCCTCCGTAGACAACCTGCCTCTGAAAACAGGGGCACCTCTGCCGCCCACCCGGAGCGACAGCTATGCGGCCTTTCGGCAGCGCGAACGGCCAGGCTCCTGGTCCAGCCTGGAGCAGAAGCGTTTCTGCCGGCCTCAGCCTGGCTTGGGCTCCCTGAAGGAGGCATTGGGAGAGGACCAGCTGCACACAGTGCTGGAGAAAAGTCCCGAGAACAGTCCCCCCGTGGTGCCCAGGCACCATTATGGCCAGAAGGCCCAGCCCGGCCAGCCACTGCTACCCAGCAGCATCTACCCGGTACCTTCCTTGGAGCCACACTTCGCTCAGGTGCCCCAGCCTCCTGCCAGCAGCAACGGCGTGCTCTACCCTGTGCTGGCCAAGGAGACAGCACACCCAGCATCCCAGGGTGGGGGCGGCAGGGTGGCCTCCTTTGATGAGAACGGGAACCAAAACGGGGCCAACAGGCCCACAGTGACCTTCTACCAGGCCACCGAACATGATCTGCCCTCTTCCATGGAGAGGAAATCTGAAACCACAGCCAAAGCTGTCCCCTACAGAGTCCATTTCTCCTCAGTACCTGAAAACGCCGAGGACACCTCCTGGAAGAGACATCTCACCCCTTACCAAGGCAACAGCGAGAGAAAGGGTCCCTACAGCCTCCAGTGCCCCGTGGCTCCAGTACAGCCAGTGAGTGAGGACAGGCCACCGTCCAGACCCTCAGAGCCCTGGGAAGGCGACTTCCAGGAGGATCACAATGCCAACTTCCGGCACAGGCCAGATAGAGAAAACCTAGGCCAGGGCCTGACGACCAACTTTGGCAAAACCAAGTCAGCCTTCTCATCTCTCCAGAACATTCCTGACAGTCTCAGAAAGCAAAGCAGCCTGGATCTCGCAGGGGGAGCCCAGGGAGGAACCCAGGGGGGCAGGCTCACCTGTGGTGGCAATGCCCTGGTGGAAGACTCTGGAAAGAGGGCCACTCCTGAGCACAGGGGCCCCCTGGACAGGTCGGTGTGCTACCCACGGCCCGAGGGGAGAACCAGCGCCGCCTCCTCCTTCCACAGTTCAGACCTCACACTGGAAGAGCTGCGGAGCCCACCGTACCAGGAAGCATCTGGCCTGGGCCGCAGGCGGCTCAGCTCCAGCAGTGCCTCGGCCTTGCAGGGCCTTCAGTACGGGAGGCCCCACTGCTCAGTGCTGGAAAAAGTGTCTAAGATCGAGCAGCGAGAGCTGGGCATTCAGAGAGCCCCGAGTGTGACCAATTCCGGCCAGCACTACTGGCCCAACAAGACGGTGCCAGGGACTTGTGCGAACGATCCAGAGGAACCAAAACCCGATGTCCGCTTCTCCGAGTCGGCCGAGGCGCTGCGTAACGGAGAGCTACGCTTCGGAAATGGGGACCCCAGGCTGGAAGAGGGCTCCTGGCCACCGGGCAGCCAGCAGCCGAGGAGGGGCAGTGCGGGTGGCCGAGGGCTTACCCTGCGAGCACCAGAACCCTCTAGGCCGGACGCCAGGCTGCTCCGCAGCCAGAGCTCCTATCAGCTCTTCAGCGAGGAGGAAGAGGAGGCTGGCTGGCGGGAGGCGCGGCCCAGCACGCCCGAGTCGCCACCGCCGGATGCCCCTTTCACCCGCGCCTACCGCAACAGCATCAAGGACGCACAGTCTCGCGTCTTGGGAGCCACTTCCTTCCGGCGCCGTGACCTCGAGCCCGGGGCCCCGGGAGCATCCAGGCCCTGGCGGCCACGGCCGGCCTCGGCCCATGTGGGCCTGAAGAGCCCCGAGGCGCCAGCGCCCTCCGCCACTGCGCCCGCCTCTTCCCCGCACACGCCACGCGAGCGCCACAGCGTGAGCCCGGCTGAGGGCGCTGATGCATCCCGGGCCGTGCCCACCGCTGCTGCAGCCTCAAGGAGAGCGGGCCGCCGGCGCCTCACCCCCGAGCAAAAGAAGCGCTCCTACTCGGAGCCGGAGAAGATGAACGAGGTGGGCGTCTGTGAGGAGCCCGAGCCAGCGCCCATGGGCCCTCCCAGGCAGGAGCCGCGCTTCCCTGAGAGCACCGTGGCCGACCGGCGCCGTGTCTTTGAGCGCGACGGCAGGGCCTGCTCGACGCTCAGCCTGTCGGGGCCCGAGCTCAAACAGTTCCAGCAGAGCGCCCTGGCCGATTACATCCAGCGCAAGACCGGCCGGAGGCCCTCCTCGGCCGCGGCCGGCGGCCCCCAGGAGCCCACGCCGCTGCGGGAGCGCGCCCAGAGCACCTACCTCGCGCCGGGGCCTGCTGCGCACGACAGTCCGGGGCTGGGCTCGGCCACCAGCCTGAGCTCGCTGCGGGAACCCGCCCCGCATCCCCGCAGGGAGGTCTCCGAGCTGCCACAGGGCCCGCGAGATCGCAGCAGCTCCTTCGCAGGCGGTCGTCTCCTCGTGGAACGGCGACGCGTGGAACCCCCAACCCCGAGGGAGCTGCTGAGTGGAGCTCGTGGTGCACCGAGGGGCGCCCAGTGGTTGGACGAGACCCCTGGGGGACCTTCTTCCTGGGGAGCCATGGCCAGCAGGGCCGGGAAGTCGGTGTCAGCTGAGGATCTGCTAGAGCGCTCCGATGTCCTGGCCGCCCCGGTCCACATGAGGTCCCGGTCGTCTCCCACCGCAGACCACAAACGCCAGGTATGTGCTGCTGCAGGTCCTGCCCTAGCACTGCCCTGGAAGCCCGTTCTTTCCCCTTTTCATTTAAATCCAGGAAAATTGCGTTTATTTTCATTAGGTGATTTCCTTCCCAGTCAGGGAAAGTTAGAGGGATTAACCACCACGATGCATCTTTATTTTTCTTTTTGGCACAGAGATTGCATATTTTTTTTTAAGATTTATTTTTATTATTTTTTCATTGGAAAGGCGGATATACAGAGAGAAGAGACAGAGAGGAAGATCTTCTGTCCGATGATTCGCTCCCCAAGTGAGCGTAACGGGCCGTGCAGGGTCCCAAAGCTTTGGGTCGTCCTCGACTGCTTTCCCAGGCCACAGGCAGGGAGCTGGAAGGGAAGTGGGGCTGCCGGGATTAGAACCGGCGCCCATATGGGATCCCGGGCGTGCAAGGCGAGGACCTTTAACCACTTGCGCCACTGCGCCGGGCCCCAGAGATTGCATATTTTAAAGAGTCCAGCTTTGTACCCTCTGATCTGCAAACTAGCTGGAACTGTTGGCATGGGTAGTCACTGGCTGTTGAGTTCCTGGCCTTCACTCACCCTGCAGTGTACACCTGGCCCCTTGCAGCCAGGCACGTTATCCATGTCTAAACCTCATCTCCAGGCTCCTCGTGTGCACCATCCTGCCGAGGCAGGATCGTCAGACTTTCAAAATCCTACATCAATTTTCTGATTAAAAATTCAAACTCCGATCATGATGAAGTGCTGTGCCCCCAGGAGCCTGGTGACTTCCCCAGTTCTTAGGTCACCCACAGCCTGCCTGGTGGCTCTCTTCCTGCCAGTGAAGATGCTAGAAGCGTAGAGTTAGCACAAGGGAGCAAGAACAGTTGCTGGCGTCCTGTGGCCCTGGGCGGGTTCTGTGGTTTCCCGTGCAGAGGCGGCTTGTGAAAATCGTGGGGCTAACGGGTGAAGGAAACTCAAGGGGAGCGGCCAGGGTGCTGCTTCTCTGGGATCCACAGGTGAGCTCCCTCCGCTGCAGCTGGGCGTGCTGGGGAGGTGGTGAGACAGCCTGCCAGGGGAGGAGAAGCAGTTTGTTGGAAGCTTTTATCAGATGTGCTCATAAGGCGGTGGGATTTGAAGCTGCCAGGAGAAGGGCAGGATGCTGCGGGGAATAGGGGGTTTGGGGGAGAGGGGAAGCCCTTGTCTGACGGAAACCAGGCCAGTTCAGCAGTCACACGTCCCTGCAGTTTTCTCAGCTGCTTGAAATGGTGTCTCTTTAGAATAAACCCACAGAAGGAAATCTGTGGAGCCAATTGCCTCAGTCTCCCGGAGCCATTTCCCCCTCTGCAGAACGCTTACCCTACCGTCCAAATCGCCCACCTAAAATCCATACGTCCAGCACGTGTTTTCAGTCTGATGAATGCCCATAACTTCCTATGTAAAAATCCAAGCACTGTTGCCTTTTCTCTCCTCTGCCCTAAAGAAAAGTGAAGTGTTGCCACGACACGGAAGCTGAGCTGTCTCCCCATTAGATGACATTACACTGTCTTGGGGAATTGGTTGGAAGAGCATGAACGTTGCCTTCTGCCACAGAATATTCCTCAGGCCAGGCCAACTGGGAACTAGAGCTAAAACGCAGATACTATAGAGAAGTGAAGAGAGTCTTCGAAATCCCAGTGAGTGCTTTGTATTGTTTTAAAGGTATATTTATTTACCTAAAAAAACATTAGAGAGATTGGTTTTCTGTCTATTCCCCGACTGGCCCCACAGCCAAGTGTGGGCCAGCAACTGCAGCTGGGTCCTCATCCATCTTCACTACTTTCCCAGGTGCATACAGGGAGTTGGACTGGACGCAGAGCAGCTGGGACTCAAACTTGTGCTCTTAGTGTTGCCGGTGTGGTGAGGCACCACAATGCCAGCCCTTAATACTTTATTTTTATTATTATTATTTAGATTTATTTATATTGGAAAGGCAGATATATAGAGAGGAGAGACAGAGAGAAAGATCTTCCATCCACTGTTCACTCCCCAAGCAGCTACAACAGCTGGAGTTGGGCTAATCCAAAGCCAGGAGCCTTGAGCTTCCTTCCTCCAGGTCTCCCATAGGAGCGGGGTCCCAAGGCTTTGGGCCATCCTTCACTGCTTTCCCAGGCCACAAGCAGGGAGCTGGATGGAAGTAGAGCAGCCAGGACATGAACTGGCACCCACATGAGATCCTGGTACATGCAAGGACTTTACTAGTTCATAGTTTTAAAAACGTTTTAGAAAGGCAACTGAATATAGAACAATACTTAGGCACCCCTTTAATAAAGGGAGTAATACCGTGTTTAAGCCTTAGTTAATTTAGGCATGATGAAGTTCCAAGGGGGAGATATTTCAAATTGAAAGTTGATTCTTTTCAACAGATGAAAGTGATTTGCTTCCAATAAGTTCTACAAATTGCTCCTCAGCTCAAGCCGGGACCGTGGTCCTGAGCTTCCCCCTGCTGCCCAGCACTCAGACCCAGCTTGACTGCAGAGATGGCTAAGAGAGCCAGGTGTTATGGGGACCCTTACTGCCTCCGAAAGCGAGATGTCCCTGGCAGTGGGTTCCTCTGCGTATGCAGTTCGTCCTCCAGCCTGATACAGTGACTGCAGAAGGCTGCCATGTAGAGTGAGCGGAGCTGCAGACCTGCTCAGTCAGCAGAACGGGGTCTCCGCAAAACACACAGCCTGCCGTGTTCTCTCCTTAAATCCCTGGGAAAGATCCCGTGGGGTGACAGTAGATGTTTGACAGCTCTTGCCTGCTCCCACGCGTTTTTGTGAGTCCTTGGAAAACCTAGAAGAAGGTGAGCCATCAGAAACATACCCAGACATGTCTGCCCTTTTCATTGTACAGTGGTACTTCAGAAAAGCTCAGGGTCAGGGCATTAAGAGAGAAGTTTATTCAGGTTATTTATTTATTTAATAATTCACGTCCTTCACAAACTTTTCAAGACCCTTTGTAAATCTAATAAGAACGCCCGTTAGAGAAATGAAAGTCTTGGTGGAATTTCCTTCTTCCAGGGCTGAGTCACAGGTGTTCCTGGTTCTCTTGAGTGTTAGGGACCCTCGTTTCTGATGTGTGGCACACTGGCCGTGTGACGGGGACCAGTGCGCACTCTAGGCAGAGGCAGTTCTGTTGCACCGTGCATGCAGCTGTCATGTTGGAATAGGCTTTATTCCGCGGGATGCAGCTTCTATGTGGTTCTGAGCCACTTACAACAAATACCCCGCTCAAGTTTAAGCAAAAATGAGGGAATCAACTTTCAGAAAATGGGAAGTAATAGTAGCCAGCAACAACCACATATTTCCCGTAGGGCAGTCATTGTTCCAAGAGTTTCACAAGAATAGAGTGAGTCCTCACATCTGGCAGTATTTCTGCAGTACACAAGAGGGAACCAAATTTACCCAAGCAGCGGGGAGCTCTGTTGAGGCAGGGAGGGAGGGAGGCCAGGGGTAAATGTGTTAGATTTGCAAATACAGCCAACCAACTGACCTCAGTTTAATGTTTGTTGCTTGCTTTTACTTTCATTTAAACCACCTAAGATTTAATGGATTTGTAATTACTTTCACTGGATAGAGTGTTGTCTTTTTCTTTGGTTACAACGATATTAGGTTTTCTTAACTCAGAACCCAAGCCATGGGGATTGGAAACTTCAGGTTTACAATTTTAAACATGCTAAGAACTTTTGTGTTTCTGAGTCAGTTCTGAGGTATTTTAACAAAAATTAATACTGACCGAATTGGTATAATTCTGAGCCTGGTGTTTCTCCCTTAGCCACTGCTGCTTCTCCAGTTGTGGTAAGTGCTTTATACTTCGTAACAGTTGGTGCAAAGTCAAGTCCTTGGCAATGAAGTCAAGGGTACTTAAGAAAGTTTCGTGGAATAAAATGAAATAAAGATTTATTTTGGTGCAAAAACTTTGAAATATATGAATACAAAGGATCTTCAGAAAGTTAAAGGAGATGAATTTTTGAAAAAATTATGCATGCCCAAATCCAAATAGGAAAATGCAGGCATTTAGATAAATTCTCTTTGGGATCCTGTTAGGTTGAAAGGCATTTTCTTTCTATGCCAATGGTAATTTGATTGACAGGAGATTTAGAGAATTCCCTCAATAGCCTATTAGTGGATCTACCTTCCTTTGCTTTAAGCACATTCACACAAATATATCAATTTAACCTTGGCATTCCAGGGGCCAAAATGTCTGAATATGGGAGTTAGATTGCTTCTCACAGTGGAGTGCAAAGGATGTAATGTAATAGGACCTGAAAATATATTTAGACTTTATTGCATTAGCTGCTCAAATGGGGCTTGCGCTTTTCCAATTAATGATAGTGAAATGGCCCATTCATGTGAACTGGAGGCAGGGGTGGTGGGGAAAGACTCAAAGGACCATAATGTTTTGTGGAGTGCAGGAATTCGTGTTCACTGTGGGGTGACGCTGCAGTGAGTCAGGACACAAGATTCATTTTCCTCACAGCATATCCAAGTTTGGTTGCTCCCTGTGCCTCCACCAGGCAGTGCACTGACATGCATGGGACTATCTCAGGCCTCAAAGAGATTGGATCTCAACTCCTGTAGCTTCTGCACTTATTTAGTGGTGGGCAAGAGTTTCACCTCTGTGAACTGCGATTGTTACCCCCATGCCCTTGTTACAGAGGTTCGGTGACAGAAAAAAAAAAAATCAAGTTCCTTACATTTCAGGCACATGATTTGTGGGTTGTGAGGTATCTGGCGCAGTGTTGGCACCCCTTGAAGACCCTGCTGGGGCTGCTGCAGTTATAAATGGTATTCAGGAATCTGCTGTCTTCTGCCCACTGCTGATCCAAGACTCCCAAATGGTCAGATGGAGCTCTTCCATCTTGTTCGCTCTCCAGGCGCCCACAACCAGCAGAACTCAGCCAGGTTGAAATCAGGAGCCCAGACAAGCTCATTCTGTCTTACATGTGGATGCCAGTTAGCTTTGGGGTAGGGTACATAGTAAATTATTAAATTAAGGTTAGAGATTGGACAGGTTTGTGGATTTATTTCTGTTTTCTGCCTGTCTCCTGGCAATGAATTATGGAGAGTTGACTGTGTTGTCAATATCTCATTAACAGCATCCTGGAGCTGATTATCTGGGCCAAATGTGACACCCCAAAACACCGACTGCAGCCTGCTAAGGACACGAGCATTTACCCTTATTTAAAACAAAAACCAAAAGCTATGTTGTGAAAAGTGTACCCAGAGTTGGTTAACTCACATTTGATAAGATTTTTCCCAGAGAGATTTTACTCCAATCTGATCACCAGCCAGATTCATGTCTTTGCGAATTGGAACTTAAACCTTTTGAAATTTTTCACAAACTCGATAGGCTGTCCTCTCTTATCATCTCCCCTATTTCCCTCCTGCCTTTTCACACTCTTGGGGACTGGAATTCGCTGTTCTTCCTCTGTCATATTTGGGATACCTCAGTTGTTTTGAACTCGGCATGATTGCCCTTGGACTTGTTTTGTTCAGGAAACATCCTTGTTAGAGGATACACCTGATGAGACAGACTGGGGTTTAAACTCAGCCAGCCACTGTGGACCTTGGTGCGGAAGTTTATGCACCTTGCTGCCCTGGTGCCTGGTGATGGGTCATAGTCAATACATGTTCCACCTCCCTGACTCCACCCCGTGGTAATTCAAGCATGTGTTCGTGGGTAATAATGCCCTGCCTTTCTTTCTGTTTTAAGGATGTGCTTCTGGGGGAAGATGGTAGCTTCAGTGTGGGGAAGGACCCCCGTCCCCTGGCTGGTGCTGGGCCCAGGTACGTGTGCATGTGTTTGCCCCTGAGAGCTGCTCAGCCGCTCCTGCTGCATGCCCGGAAGTGAGGCGTGACGAGGGAGTGTCGTGTACTGCCTTTGCGTTCATTCCTTTGTCATCCACAAACTCCTCTAACAGTGATTATCGTTCATGATGGGTTCCACGTGTGTGTGCTGTTGGAGGGAGGGTTGGCTTCAGCATATTTAAAACTGCCGTGTTGGACGTTTGTTCCTGGGCTGTTTCCTGGGATGCCTACAGCCCATACCAGATCAGAGGTCTGGTTCAGGTCCTAGCCCTTCCACTTAGAGCCAATTCCCTGCTAGCACACACCCAGGAGGCAGCAGATCGTTGCCCTGCTAATGTGTAACTGAGTAGCATCCATGAGAGCTGAAGTTTTGGGTTCTTTCTCAACTGGCCCCCAACTCTTCCACCTGCCTGTGTATTTGAGACCTGAATTGGGATCTTGGCTCCTGACTCGGTCCTGGCTCAGCCCTCACCGTTGTGGGCATTTGCTGAGTGAACCAGAGGATGGGAATTCATTCTAAGTCCCGCTTCCTGCCATCTCTGCCTCTCTTTGGAAGTGGAAGGGTGTCTTGTCATATGATAATTACAACACAGTTAAACCTTGAGAACATCCTCCTAAATTAAACGAACCAGGCACAAAAAGAAAAAAGCTACACGAATCTGCTGAGTCCTGAAATTCACAGAAGCAGAGGTAGAGTGGTGCGACCTGGCATCGGGGCATGGGAGTTGTCATTTATTGGGTGTAATTTTCTGATCAACAGAGTGGAGTTGTTCTGGAGATCCTGCTCACAAGGTGAACATAAGCACTGCTGAGCTGCGTATTTAAAAATGACTAAGAAAAACATTTTAAATGTGTATGTTTGAAAGTCAGAGAGAAATTGATGTTGCTTTGCTGATTCACTCCCGTCAAAAGGCTGCAGGCCTGGGCTTGGGCCAGGTAGAAGCCAGGATGCAGGAACTCCATCTGGGCGATCCAAGTGGGATCAGGAACCCAAGTGCTTGGACATCTGCTGCTCTTTCCCAGGCACATTAACAAGGAGCTGGGTCAGAAGTAGAGCAGCCAGGACTAACCTGCACTCCTGTGAGATAATAGTGCTGGCATTGGCTGTACCACACCTCCGGCTCTGAAAATTTTTACACTTGTTGCTTTTGTTTTGTTTTGCAGCAATTTTTAAAAACCTTAAAGGTGAAAGTGTTGGCTGTGCAAATGAGGGACAATGGGGAGCCCCTCATGCCCTCTTATAAAAAGGGCCTAAGGAAAATGTGTTGTTGTTTCAGAAAGCACAGTCACGATTTACAGACTTATTTTTTAACTCAAAAGAAGCAATTTTTGTGTCGTCCATCCAAACCAAGGGCAAACACCAGCATTTAGTGGGCCCATCTCAAGGGACAAGTGTGCTGTTACTGTGTGCCTTAGTGACACTCATTTTTTTAAATTAGCTTCATTTTATTTGAAAGGCAGAGGGTCAGGTGAGGGATTGAGAGAGAGAAAAAGAGATTTCCAGTTAGCTGTTTCACTCTCCAAATGCCTGAACAAGCCAGGGCTTATCTGGACCAAAGCAAGGAATCTAGAATTGGGTTCAGGTCTCCTGTGTGGATGGCAGGGATCCGGCTCCTTGAGCCACCACCAGCCACCACCCACTACCTCCTGGCAGGTACATTAACGGGAAGCTGGGATGGAGAGCAGGACCAGGACTCCAACCCAGGTACCCTGATAAAGATTCAAGAGTCCCAAGTGTTTCCTTGACCCCTGAGCCCACCATCCACTCTCGCCTCCGCTTCACAAAGCCACTCCATGTAAACCTCCCCCTTATTAAGTCATTACACACCCGATTCCAGTTGACTTGGTGCCCAGCTAGAGGGTGCTCAGCTTAAATAGCTCCTGTCTTACAGCCAGAGGAGACATGGGCTGTTCTGTGCTTGGCTGCCTAGCCACTTTGTGCCTGCCAGGTGCTGGGGATCCTAAAATGAGGAAGGCGGGGCAGTAGAGTGCACCCCGCTCCCAAAGACACGCTGCATCTGGGCAACCTGTGGGCCCTAGGGACCAAGCCATGAGGAGAGGTGATCGCTAGGGAGACGGTGTGCGTGGATCTGCTGGGAAGGCAACGCAGGCCCGGCGCGCACTCCTCCCAAGGCAGAAGGCGATTGGGTCAGCACGGGGTTTTCCCTTGCTGGTGCCATCTCATCCTCCTTGCCTGTGCCAAGACTCTAAATGTGGCTCTGAGGCAGGACCAGTCAGCTGCCTGCAAGAGTGAGATCTATGGAATGAAAAGTGCCACATGCCCCAGGTGGACTGGGAAATTGGCAGGGGGGGGGTGCTGGGGTCGTGTCCTCAAGTCAACACACCTAGATGGTGGGAGTGCCGCTGGCACTTGCTGAGCTCTGTTCTCCTCTGTGTCCTGTGCAGACAGGAACAGCCACACGCAGTCCGTGCTCAGACACAAGCACAGCGCTGGGTTTTCCTTGCAGCCTGACCCACCGTCTGGGAGCTACACATCCTGTTTGGCTTGGCCCTGTCCTTTTCTTCTCCAGGGGGAACTTACTGCTGATTAGTTCCTTCTGAGACCCCCTCTTAGTTTTCATATCAATGAACTGAAAACACAGGAGGCCCAACCTTAAAGTGCCCAGGGAGGGGGTGACCAGACAGCCCAGGTCTCTCTTCTGCCCAGCTGCTGTCCGCTGTAGGATGTAGGAGAAAGCTGTGGGTAAGACCCAGCATCAGGTACACACATTTTCCCAACAGAACCAGCCAGTGGGCAGCAGAAGGCTGGATCTCTTCCCCAGGGCCAGGGCTGCGTGCTTGGCTGCCCCAGCACTGAGAGCAGGCACCCCACAGAAGGCAGTGTAGACCTCCTGCACCTCGGTCCTTCCTCCCTTTCGCTGCCTGCCTGTGTAACAAACCCTGGCTGCCAGGTTGACCCTCTCGGCTCTTTGCTTTTCCAGGTCACTTGATTGTACCAGCAGAGCTGGAGAAGATAGGTCATCGCGCATCCATCAGCTTACTCCACGCTGGACTGAACCAGGCTGCAAAGCCAACATTCTTTCCGTTGGGCCCAGTGAATGTCCTGCAGCCAGAGACCAGCAGAGGCAGGGTGGCAGAGGCCCCTGCCCCAGGCCACCCCCCTCAGCTGTGCCCGGGCCCCTTCTCGACCCCCGGGAGAACCCACCAATGCTACATGGCTCCCCTCAGCCTGCCCCGCTGCCTTTGACTTGCTGCTCCCAATTTGCCCCTGACCAGCAGGCTGGAAGGGACGGGCAAGCAGGACGACAGCCCTTTCCAGTTAGCAGCTCTGCTGTGACAGCCCTCAGGGGTGATGGGGAGACCGTGAGCCGGCCTCCGAGCCCCAGGGGCCCTGCACCCAGCAGCCCAGAGCCTGGGGAGGAAGAGGGCCTAAGGAAGAGGGTGTCACAGGCCCAGCGACCCCTGGCAGCTCGGGGGCGGTGGGTGTCCACAGGCCTGGAGGACAGCCTTCCCGGAGGGTCCTGCACCCCTGAGAATGTGGACCCGAAGCCCTGTTGGAAGCAGTGGGCTCCCCCAAGCTCCTGCAGCACTTCCGAGCCAGCCTCGCCACCCGGGGTGCCCAACTTCCCTGGGAGGGTCTCTCTGCGGATCTCAGAGTCCACGTTGCAGGCATCCCCGCCGCCCCAGGACAATGACAACGATGACGTGTTTGTAAAGGACTCGCACCCCAAGGCCACGTCCAGCCCCATGTTTGAAGATCTGCCTCCACCCCCACCTCCTCCACCGAGCCAGGAAGGCCCTGCCGACAGCATGGAGGACTTCCCTCTACCTCCTCCACCACCGCCGCCGCAGGCTGCCCCCCCAGCGCCCCTGGAAAGCAAGGATGGCAACAGCGAGGGGTCCCACCCTGGGTGAGTGGCAGCTGCCTGGCTGCACAGCCCAAATCCCCCAGACTCATTCCCGTCCCTGAAGGTGGGAGGGCGAGGGGAAAGAAAGGACCGTCCCTCTTGCTGAGCCGAGTGAAGAAGCAAGACGAAGGAAGGGAGCAGAGGGAAGACGAAAAAGACCGTCTTGTTGTAGATGGAGCTGATCTTGGAAAATGCAGCTTCCGTCTGAATGTGGCGTGAGCGCCCCGCCACTGAGTCCCCAAATTAAGATTTACATACCCAGATACAGCTCATGTTAGTCATGCTTATACACACGTGCACACGGGTGTGCAGCCCGGAGCCAACTGTGCTGTCAGAGAACAGGCTGGGCTGGGAATGGCCAGTGTCTGTAGGGAGAAATACAGTAGTGTGAGAGTCTGGCGCTGTTAGGGAAGCCGGGGGACTGGGGCAGAAGCACTGACCAGATGGGTCCCTAGGACAGCTGAGCTCGCCCAGCATGTAAGAAGCTTCTCCTGCCTCCACCATTGGGGTTAGCTTTCTGTCAACAGTTAACAACCATCACCTCTGCCCTCTGTCTACCCAGACGGTTCAGAAAGCTCCTGGCAGCGCCCACTGCACCAAGCCCCTGCTTGGTGCTGCCCAGGGAGGGGACGGCCTCCCAAGAGCAGCTGCTGGCTTTGGGAGGGCCACTCCTCCCCTCCTGTGGCGTCTGCACCTGCCTTCCCTTCCTACTGTCATCACCTCTCACCTGCTTCTCACCTGTGTCCCGCCAGCTCCAGAAAACTGTCCAGGGTGACAGCAGCGAGGGAACGGCACGTGCTTGGTGCAACCCGTCTTGCCGAGAGTCAGCGACTAGACTGCAGACCCTTCACTGCCCCTGCCAGGGACTCGGGGCCGCCGTCCACTGTGGGTGGCCAGCAGCCAGGCCCTGGACAGCCACCTCCACCCTGGGCTCCAGGCCTCCCCACCGAGGCAGCCAGCGGAACCCAGGCTCCCGCAGCACAAGTGGGTGCTGAGCCCCAAAAGACCTCGGAAGACATCCGAACAGAGGCTCTGGCCAAGGAAATCGTTCACCAGGACAGATCGTTGGCGGATATTTTGGACCCAGACTCCCGCATGAAGACCACCATGGACCTCATGGCAGGCCTCTTTCCCCGACGAGCTCACTCGCCGAAGGACAGCAGTGCAAGGGCCAAGGTGGCATCCAGGACCCACAGCTGCCTGGGCCCTGAAGACAGGAGGTGAGCCCCCAGCTTTTATCCCCACCACAGCTCAGGCCCGTGCCCCATGCGTGAGCCACGGTGTGCATCCCAACCCCAGACTGGCACTCTCGCTCGGGGTTCAGGGATGGCTGGGGAGCCAGATAAGGGGCAGATGGCCAGCAACGGAGCAGCCAAGGACAAGGGGTGGCTGTGATCATGTGGTTCATGTTGGGGGGTGGCGAGCGTTGTGTTTCTTACTTCATGTATACATCATCTCGCCCGATGGTCACCAGACCTTTCTGTGCTGGCTGTCGAGGCCCGTGACGTCACATGAGTGATGTCACAGGGTCTGACGCCGGGCCCAGGACTGCACTTGCTCCTGCCTTAGCAGTTACCCAGTACCACTCGCTCAGCAGTCATGCCCTTAGAGCCCCATCCCTGCAGCCCCTATTGAGGGGCACCCAGAGCTCAACAAGGAGCAAGTAGAACCCCACCCAGCCAAGGCCTCCCCAAGGCCCTGACAGGTGCAGACCATGTGGAAAAGGACATGCTGGTGGGCTTCCTTAGCACACCTGTGAGGCAGGAAGGGGGGCTCGGTTCAGAGGCTGGATGTTAGGAGAGCCCCGGAACCTCGGGCCCCGACAGGCCCGTCCTGCGGCGCGGGGGCCCAGTGCCCAGCTGCACAGCCCCAGCATGCTGGCTGCCTCACTTCCCGTCGCTCTCAGTCTGTCACAGTACAAGGCCTCTTCCCAAAGTCCTCAAACACACGGAGTATGGAAAAGCCATGCTGGAATTTCCCACCCGCTTTTTTTTCTCCTCCTCCTCCCCCAGGAGGCTCTTTGAAGTCACCCTCTGCTTTCTTGTGTGTTTCATTTCTTTAAAGGACTGCCGTGGGAAAAAATTTAAGCTTTGATGTTTTCCTTTTGAATTTTCAGTGAAAACCCTGGGAATGGACAGACAGCTTCCAGACTGAGCACTGAGACGTCCTCAAAATCTGGGGTGTGGTTTAGCAATTTCCAAGTGGCCATGGCTCAGTTACCCACAGGGGAGCAGGAAGGCCAGAGCGTGCCCCGTCACTGGAGAAGCAGTTAACGCTGCCAGCAGGGGCTCTCCTTGTCGGGGCCCTGGCCCCCTGGGCTGTGTGCTTAGTTTAGCAATCGTCCACCGAGTTCCTACAGTCAGCCTGCTGAGTCCCGCAGTGGTCCCGAAGAGGAGTTGGAGGTGTGCCAGGCAGTTCCTAATGGGTGTCCGTGCTGTGGTTGTTAGGTGCTCTGACCACATGCCCTCCACAGACCACCCTTAGATGGGTGTTGTGATGCAATGGGGTTAAGCCATCACATGTGGTGCCAGCATCCCATCACCAGAGCACCAGTTCAAGTCGCAACTGCTCTACTGCTCCAGTTCCCTGCAAACTGCCCTGGAAAGGCAGTGGGTAATGGCCCGGGTACTTGGGCCCCTGTATCACATGGGATGCCTGGGTAGTTTCTCACTTCAGCCTGATGAAACCCTGCTTGTTGAGGCTATCTGGGGAGTAAAGCAACAGATGGTGTATCTGTCACCCTGCCTTTTAGATGAATGAAGCCTTTAAAAGTAGATAAGTAAAATGCATCACTAGAAAACTACTTCATGGCATGGTGGTTGAGAGCCTGAGTTTGCCCAGTCAGTCCAGATGGGGTGTGGTCCGTTAGCCTGCAGCACTAAGTCCATCCCAAGTATTTCAAAGGGATGCGTGCGCCATCTGCTGGTGGACAGAAGCATTGTCCTAGCATGGGGGCTGGCTTCTGGCTCAGCTCCAGTAGCTGTTTGATGCCAGCCTGCTTGGACTGCGGTGGATATGTCGGGAGCAGGGGAGGGAGAAGGATTTGAAAGACAGACCTACAGAAAGAAGAAGAAACATGGAGAAGGAGATCCATTGGTTCACTACTGGAAATGGGCACGACAGCCAGGGCTGGGGCTGGGCAACATTAGGGGTCTTACCCATGGGATACAGCAGCCCAAAGATGTGAACCATCTGCTGTTGCTCTTCCAGGAGCATGAATAAGCAGCCAGGACTTGAGCTGGCTCTCGTATGGGACGCCTGCATTGCAGGGGGTGACTTAGCCTTCGTCACCACAGTACCAGCCCCCCCTTTCCTGTCTAACTCGGCTGGATTAAATAAAGTTATGTTTGCTGTGGTTCTGAATTCCACAGGAAGAAGGTGGGCCGGATGCTAAGTAATAAGGTTTAGTGGTTAAGATTCCCTGTTTGCCGGTGGAGTGTCATTTATTCAGCGGGTGGGACCCAAGCCACAGGCTGAGAAGCAGCTGGTTGAGGCCACGCATGCCGGATACCAGGTTTCCCCACGTCTAGTTCTTCCCTCCAGCCTCGAATCCTTTTTTGTAAAAATGGATGATTCCACATCTCCCACTAGCTCACTGTGGACCAGAAAACCTGAGAGTTCTTGGGCTTTGTTGGGTGTGCTGGTCTCACTCGAGAAGGAGCAGGTGTGAGTGTGCAAGCAGCCACATAGCGGGGTCCGAAAGACTGTGGGTAACCAAGGGAGAGTAGGGAAAAAACCAGAAACCTGGGGTTTGCATGGCACTTTGAAATGCTGCCATGCCTAGTGGTGGCTCCACACTGCGTGAGAAGAGCAATTGCCAGCACCCTCCTGTCCACCCTAAAAGGAGACTCGTGTGAGAGGCCTCTGGGCTGCCCAGTGTGGGCTGACAGGGCTTCAGTCCTGACCCAGCCACTGTGCCCGTCCCAGCCCCCATCCATCCCTACCTGTCCTGTAGGGGGACACACGTGGATGTCCACGCCAACTCCTCCATTCTAACCTGGGAGGAGACTCGCCTCGCCCATGGTAGGGTCTCCCACCCATGCTTCTGTGGGCTGACGCTCTGGTCCCACAGCAGGCAGCTGAGCTGCGTGTGTGTTCTCTCTGGCCCAGGAGTGATGACCAGGAGGTGGCCAGTATGCTAGCCGCCTGCCCCGCTGCCTACTACAGTGTGTCCGCGCCCAAGGCTGAGCTTCTGAACAAAATCAAAGACATGCCGGAGGAGGTGACCGAGGCGGAAGAGCAGGTGGATGTTAACGAGAAAAAGGTATCAGATGGAGCCAGGGGTCGGCAGAGGCTGCTTAGGGTGGGAGGGGCAGGGGCTCGTCCTGTCCCAGACCCCGCCAGGCCTGTCCTTGGGGCCTGACCCTGTGTGGCATCACGTGATACTGTCCCGCAGGTGGACAGGGCAGGCGAGCTGTTGCTGTCTTCATCTTTCCACATGGAGGAGTCCATGACCTCCCAGAATCCTCGCTGCTGCTGCGAGCAGCGATGGGCCAGTGACAACAGCTGGCCTGGCTGTGGTCCGGAGCCTGCCTGTGGGCAGACAGTCGTGAGCAGAGGCCTCATTCACCTCCACGTGTTCCCAAGCTCACTGCCATCCTCAGCAGAGCACGTGGGGCTAGGGCCTCACGCTCAGCAGAGCTGCCCCTGGAGGAGTGTTACCTGCCAGACATTTTCAAAGTGACCATGAACCTGCCACTGTCTTCCCATAGACCCAGGAGCTCTGGGCAGGGCTGTGCACAGCGAAGGTTCCAGTTGCCTCCCTGGCCCTGAAGTCCTAGAGGGCAGCCTCATGCTGTGTCCTGAGCCATGGATAGCCAGGACTCTGATCCCTCTTGCTGTCAGTGTTGGCTCTTAGGGGAAACCTTCCATTTTTTTCTCCCATGTGCGTCCCAGGCCTTCCCAGCTCTCCAGGAGCCAGGAAGAATGACACATGGAGGACTTTCCTGTGCATTCTCTCGCCATCCCTGCCCTCTGTTCCTCTGCCAGGGACCAAGGGCACTTTGCTCTGGGTTGTGTAGACACCACCATGCTGGGTGTCTTCAGCCAGGCCATCCTGGGTGCACCACAACAACTCCTCTCCCCTCCCCTCCCCTCCCCTCCTCTCTTCCCCTCCCCTCCCCTCCCCTTCCCTTCCTCCCCTTTCCTCTTCCCCTCTTCTCCTCCCCTCCTCCCCTCCTCTCCTCTCCCCTCCCTTCCCTCCCCTCCTCTCTTCCCCTCTCCTCCCCTCCCCTCTCCTCCTCCCCTCTCCTCCTCCCCTCACTTCCTCTCCCCTCCTCCCCTCCCCTCCTCCCCTCCCCTCCCCTCTCCTCCCTGAACTTCATTCTTTGTTTTCCCCTCGTGGTAGGAGGCAGGGCTCTGGCTGTGCCCTCTGTGGCTGGTCCCCTGACCCTGTATTGCTGCATCTTGTACGCAAGTCCCCTGGTAGCAAACACTGCTCTGCTCCTGGGAAATGAGCGAGGAAGGTGACTTCCTGGGACGCACGGACCACAGGGGGTCCACCTTGCACCTGAGTCACCTACTTCCTGGGAACAGCCGTGTTTCCTACCAGCAGATGTCAATGAGGTTGACAGCATGGGATTTCTCGCATGCTGGATGGCCCTGAGTGATGGCTCTGCAGGTGGCAGATGCAACGACCATCCCCTTCGCCCCGAGTGGGTCCCCTCATTCCTCTGGCTGCTCTGTTTGCCCTCCACACCCACTTACTTGTGGTGTGTTGCAAGAAAAGCAGTGAGAGTAGTTAGCAGACTCTGGGGAAGAAGCCAAGGCTGGCCACAGCAGCCTGCCGCAACTGGAAACCATTGTGAGGCGATGTGCGGCAGGTAGAGTGGACGCTCGGGGAGAGGAGAGGAGAGGATTCCCTCACGTGGGCCGGGGGCGCCCACACAGAGCAGGGAGCGAAGCCAGCCTAGAGAAGGAGAAGCCGCAGCTGGGAGAAGCGCAGCCTTCCACCACCAGCTGCGGGCTGACGCTGGCTGTCTGTGCCTCATGCCGTTCCAGGCGGAGCTCATCAGCAGCCTCACCCACAAGCTGGAGACGCTGCAGGAAGCCAAGGGGAGCCTGCTCATGGACATCAAGCTCAACAACGCCTTAGGAGAGGAAGTGGAGGCGTGGATCAGCCAGCTGTGCAAGCCCAACGAGTTTGACAAGTACAAGATGTTCATAGGGGACCTGGACAAGGTGGTGAACTTGCTACTGTCACTCTCGGGGCGCCTGGCCCGCGTCGAGAACGTCCTCAGTGGCCTTGGAGAGGATGCCAGTAACGAGGAACGGGTAGGTGGCTGTGGCCCAGTCCCACAGGCTCCCCTTCCCATGTGCTCGGTCCCTTCTTTTAGAATATGAGGGTTTCTTTGAAGCTGGGTGGGGGTGAGGACCGTAGAGAAGGTGCCATCTTCCACACTCAGGTGTACCACTGACACCTAAGGCTTAGGGAGGGCGGGGAAGCGAAGAAACAGCCGCCAGAATGCCTTCCCTCCCACCCCTGTTGCTTCCTTTCTCAGACATGAGGGCATGACGGGGTGGTGGGATGGACGAGGGAAGAGGAAGTGGGCAGGACAGGAGCTCAAGGCTCCTGGCGCTCTGCATGCAGGGCTGGGCAGCCTTTGGGTGCCCTGACAGCAGGGCCTGCCTGCTGTGCTTGCAATCTTGTGGACTCCTGTGAGTCATGGAGCTGGGCCTGGAGGAGCCCTCCTTCGGCCCCCGGGAGACATGCCGCTACAGCCCTGTGGCCCAGCACAAGGAGCTTGTGGGTAGCAAGTCACCATCTCCAGGGGATGGAACTCCTCTCGTCATGGGCTCAGAGGCTCCAGGCAGCAGGCCAGGGCAGTGGTCATTGGTGTCCTCCGAGAGGGGGAGAGGGTGGGCCTGTCGGCAGCATCCAGGCCTGAGTTGCCGTCAGAGTGCCTGCAGGTAGCAGACCCTGGTAGTGTGGTGCTGGTGAGTGCCAGCTCTCTCCCTCCTTTGGGGACTCCTCGCTGCCCTGGAGCAGCTGGCTTCCCTTTCCGCTGCTACGCTGAGCCCCTTGCTGATGTGTGCCTTTTGCCCCGGCAGAGCTCTCTGCACCAGAAGAGGAAGATCCTGGCCGGGCAGCACGAGGATGCGCGGGAGCTCAAGGAGAACCTGGACCGCCGGGAACGTGTGGTGCTGGACATCCTGGCCAACTACCTGTCAGAGGAGCAGCTGCAGGACTACCAGCACTTCGTGAAGATGAAGTCCATGCTACTCATCGAGCAGCGCAAGCTGGACGACAAGATCAAGCTGGGCCAGGAGCAGGTCAAGTGCCTGCTGGAGAGCCTGCCCTCTGACTTCCTCCCCAAGGCTGGGGCCCTGGCCCTGCCCCCAGACCTGGCTAACGAGCCACCCCCAGCGGGTGGCGGCTTCCCACCAGCAGCCTCTTCCAGAATGCCCAACCAAAAGAGCACCTCTCTCAGCACCGTTTAATACGAGAAGACATTTTGGTACAAGCTTTCTCGGGATCTTGTGGGAAGGAAGGCTATGCCCCAGAAGAAGCCTGTGTTCTCCCCAGCCCTTCGTGATCGGCTTTCTGGGGGCGGGCATGCCACTGGGACCTCGGCCGCCCTCTGGTCACTCTGTGGTGGACACAACGCTGAGACGCAGGGCGAGGGTGGGCTGATCCTTTAGTGTTGAACAAGCCGTGGCAACACAGCCCAGGATGTGTGTGTGTGTGTGTGTGTGTGTGTGTGTGTGTGTGTGTGTGTGTGTGTGTGTGCGTGCTGCCCTCAGGAGTGTACCCACAGTGGCCTGCCTGGCCTGGGGGCAGGTGGTGGAGGCAGTGAGTCCCCACAACAGCGTGCAGGGTCTGCCACAGTGAGCCTTAGGAAGATGCACACCCAGCAGGAGACCATGATCCGGCCCGCCATTATTTATATTGTTAAAGACGTCAAAGATAGCTCTGTGTGTGTGTGTGTGTGTTAACCACTTCCTTACACCATCCTGTGGGGAACCCAGTGACATTTCAGCTTTGTGTTTTGTGAAAACCTTAATGAAGAATTCCAAAGATAGTCGCACACCTAGTGCAGAGGCTGTCTTCTTTCTTTCGCTCCCGACCTCTCCTACCTCACCTGTTACACATTGAAGGGCGTGAGGGCAGAGGCAGTCGCAGTGTCCACTGCTGCCCGCTCCGTCCCCACAGCCTGCGGCAAGGCTCTGGAATTCCCTGGTTCTTCTGGGAGGTGGCAGCACTGTTGGCAGTAAAAACCCACACATGTCATACAGCAGAAACCTGTCGACCTCATGAGCATTTTTGTTTGTTTGTTTGTTTGATACTCGACTCCTGAAGACTGATTTTGTACCATCTTGTCGGGTGACAGCATCTTTCGGAAGGCGTCCACAGCCCACACTTTGGAAGGACGAGGCAGGTGGGGGCCAGGAGAGGTGGCCAGAGCCTTGGACTTGTCAGGTATATCCCAGGCCATACTTTACGTCCACCTGCCTTTTCCCCCCATGTTTCCCTACCCTGGGCTGTCATCTCTTACTTGAACTTGGAAGCACCTCCGCAGCCGGAGAGAAAGCCAAGAGTAAAGCTTGGAGGGCAGCAGGAGGAGGAGCCTCTACAGTGCCATGCATTTCCTTGGGCTGTTTCAGTTCCCTGGCAAGGTTTTATCTCCCTGTTAAGATGATCCACACTCCAGTCTCTGGGCCCTTCATCCTCTGATTACATAGGAACAAGCGACCACTCAGAAGTGTCTTCGGAGCCGCCAACCAGCGCTGCCACCAAGTGCTGTGTGGCTTCCACGCTCTGCTCCAAGGCTCCACTGACAAGTTAGATGGAACCTAGGGTTCCTCTGAATGTTTCCAAAAGTTTCTCCCTCCCATTCAGAGCTCTCCCATCTTCAAGCACCTGGGGAGACCAGCAGCCATTTGCAGGGTCACCCAAACGCCATGTCCCCAACAGGCATTCCTACATGCTGCAGGTGGCACAGGAGCCTGCCATCCCCTCCCCTCCCCTGGGACAGGAACCCCTGTGTAGCCTGCTGACACCAGCAGGGTCCCACGGTCTGGCTGGGGTGACTGCTCCTGGCAGGTGCCCTTAGCAAAGGTCCATGGAGAAGCTCCAGCCTGCCCACCACCAGCCCGCCTCCACACTGGCCTGGGGATTGAAGCACACATTGGGCCTTTCTCTAGGACTTGGCTGATTCTCACCTGTCCATTAGCCACGTCACAGCCAAGTAACTGGCCCTCACCGCTGAGCATCCCACTGGCCTTCCAAGGGCCATACCCACTCACGGAAGCATTGAGGGAGGGTCCAGGTGCAACCTGAGGTCACTCCAGCAGGACTTGACCTCTGTGCTGTGAAGGACTCACTCGCCCACTTGTTGAAGTTTACTTTTAAATGCCACTAGCCAGAAGAGAGGCCTATGTATTTATCCCTTTTCTATTTTGCAATCTCCCTAATTTGAAGTTGTTGCCCCACCATCCTCCCTGTCCACGGCATCCTCTGCTTGGATGATGATGCAGTGTGCAGTTGACCAGGTTCAGGAGGCACAGGGTGGCCCTGGGAGCACTTGCTCCTCCGACGTGCTATGACCGTGATCCTTTGCGAGGCATGCTCCCCCATCACCAGTTACAGTAATCTTGGAACCTTTGCAAGGAGAGCCATTCAGAAACCCAGGATGTCCCCGGAAGGGACGACGACCACGTCCTGGGGCACAAACAGGAGACCCCATTACCCAGCGCACTGCAGAGGAGCCTGGGCGGGCTGCTCTGCGTCGGCTTCCTCGTGCCTGCAGCCTGCTCAGCCGTACGCCACACAAGGACCAGACGCCATCCAAGCCAGGCGGGGTGTCCTTTACTCCAGAGGTCCAGCCTGTGGGTTTCCGTTTGTGCACACGTGACTTGCAGCTTGGAAGATGAGCGACTTTAGATCAGCCCTGGGAACTAATGGCACCTGCAGAGGTGAGGAACTGGGGCTTGATGGAAACCGCACGTGGAGGTAGAAGGAACTGCCTGGTGCATCCTTGCTGTTAATACTCTCTTCACTTCTGATCAGAGTCACTTAGCGCCTTAAAAATGGATCTGGTGCTTTAAAATTGCATTTCATTTGTTAAGATGCTGGTTTGGGTTTTTTTTTTTTTTCCTAGAGGCCTAAGAAAATGGAGGTTTTCAAGATATATGTATATATATTTATATAGAGGAAAGTTGTAGATTTGCTTCTCTGTGGTATAGTTGGCTGTAAGACTGCTTGAGTTTGTTAGGTTGAAATCATTTTTCTATATTATGTAGGAATTATTTAAGAACATGAGTTTTATTGGGCTTACTGGAAGGAAAAAGGAGCTTGGGTCAGACTCTCCAAGGTCTACAGTGATCACAGGGGCCATGCTACACAGAGCAGACGATGTAGGACTGAGTATTTATTGCTGCCTAAACCCTTGGAGATGAAGCATGGGATAAAATGACAAAGACCATTTTAAAACACAGGAACAGTTCTCTTATTTCTAAGTCAAACAACGTTTTAATAAAAATTGTTGAAATTCAAGATCACTGAAGTCCCAGGTGCTGTCCCACTGCGCTCTGGCTGCCTGGCGTGCGTGAGTTCCACACTGACAGAACCGCCGGGGTGGGGGTACAGATTCTGCCCCCTTGCTCACACTGCCTTAAGTTCACACGGGAGCACACCGAGCACGGCCCAGGCTCGGCTGCTGCACTCACCCTGTGTCCTCCGAAGGCGTCACCTGAGCCGTGGTCGGTAAGTCCAAGTTCTGCTCTGCTCTGAGAGGCAGCACAGGCAGCCAGCTCCCCAGGCCTGAGGCAGATGTCTCACTCCCTGTCAAGGCTCAAGCCACACACTTAGAGTCTCTCCGAGGTGGGACTGGATGATCCAGCTAATGGTTTCCTTTGAGGAGGGACAGGAACCATCACCTAATTTCCATACCCTGAAATTGAAATCGGGCAAGAAAAAAGTCACGAGTGAAGAGACTGGCTCCATTTTGTAAATTCCTCCCTCGTCTTCTGTAAGTGAAGAGGCGGCTAGCTGCAGGCTTGCTAAAACATCGGTGCTGCTGCTGCTGTACGAGAACGTTTAGCATGAAGAATTATCCAGCTCTGTCCGATCAACGCATAGCTACAAGATATAAGGAATTTCTACGTGTGACTTAGATCGAAGGGAAAGGGGCTCCTTTCCAGGGGTTCAGAACTCCACAGAGAAGGAACTCGGCCCATTCAGCCAGCACGTCAGCTGGCATGTGCCATCCCTGGGCAAGAGGCATGAACAGTGCATGAATGGGTGGCACACAGCCTGTGGGGGCCGAGAGATGTGCTGGTCACTCAGTGGGAATTGCTGGCAAGCAGGGATCTGTCGGGTTTGGGTTTGTAAGGAGAAAGCAACAGCCTGGCGTTGCAGGGTGGCTCCAGCACTGCACATTCTAGGCACGTGGTGGGTGCAGAACTCCCCCCGACAGGCTCACATGCGCACACCTGACACATCAGGTAGGGGCTACAAAAGGCAAGATTACAACTGGCCCCAGTGGTGCAAAAGTGTGTTCATGCAACCATTCTGTTCTTCACTCTCAAGTATTCATTAAGTTACACACAGTACTCAACATGCCACTGTGGAATAGACCTTCCATTGTGCGACTGTCCCCAGCCACAGGCCACTCTCGATGTTCTGAGCACATTTAAGGTGAGCTAGGCCAAGCTCCAGTGTATTCACTCTAAGCAAGAGTATTGATTTAAATTCATGATATTTTCAGCTTACAATGAATTTATTGGAGTGTAAGTCCTTCATAAGTGAATGGGCGTCTGTCCTTCCTGCCCTGCAGCTGCTTTTACTGAAAAGCAGGGGTCATGCTCCCTGGACGAGGAGACTTGACGAGATCCTGCCCATAAGGGTGTCACGTGGAAACGTAGGTTTGAAACTGAGGGGCGATGAACAATAACTAGGACAGCAATGTTCTTCTGGGATATTCGAGCGTTATCTACAGTATCATGGGGAGTTTATAGTTGTTTTCTGTAAGAACTGTTTCTCAGAAAATAAGCAATCTGTATCATTTGGACAACAATCTAAGAAGGGGTCAGAAGAAGGCATCTTTCATTCATGCTCTCTTAGCTGGGCCCCATACATTTCTCAGGGAACCTCCCTCAGATTTAGAATGAGGCCTATGTTAGAACACCTACAGATGTGTCTCAACTTTTAATGGGGTGTGTCCCAACAAACCCACTGTAGATCAAAAATACTGAAAGTTAAAATTGTAATTTATATCCTAATAAACCCCTTGTAGAGCCAAAAAGTATCCAAGGGTGAGCCATTGTAAGTCAAAGAACATCTAGTCCATCTCTGGCTCTCTCTGCTGTCACCCCAAGCACGTATCCCCGGATCCGAGTCCATCTCTGGCTCTCTCTGTTGCCCCACGGGCGTGTCTCTGATTCCGCGTCCATCTCTGGCTCTCCCTGCCATCACCCCACGGGCGTGTCTCTGATTCCGAGTCCATCACTGGCTCTCCGTCGCCCCACGGGCGTGT